CTATGGGTTCTCTACTTTCTGTCTTCTGATTTGCATGCCCTCCCAGCGTCTGCCTGCTTATGTAGTCTTTGACCTATTCTGTCTCTTACTGTGGCATCTGTATCCCAGCTGAGTTTTGATCAGTGTTTGTTATGACTTATAGGTACTATGTGCACCTTGACTCATGACTGCTTATCAAGATGATATGCAAAATACTTAGCAAACAGTATGGAATGGGCACTGCCCAGTCAGAATGGTTGTCAGCTCTAAATAACAGGGATGGCTGTCCTGTACATACTGGCTGAACAGGAGCCCAGCTTATTAGACTCTAGACTCCTTCGACTGCCCTGATGAGAGGCCTCTCAGAGCTGGTGCCACATATTTCCTCCCTACTCAACCCCACGCTTGGCATGGCTGGCCTCGTGCCCTGTTTCATGAGCTCCTATTACCCACAGTCCTAGAGCTGACCTTCTCATTACCACTCTACCCAGGTTTCAACAGGGGAAACCTGGCAACCTACTTAAAGAGATGGGGTAGCCTTGAGGCCAAAGCAGGAGGGCAAAACATAAAAGTAGAAATATATATATCCCATGTATAGCAAAAGTATCTTTGCAGCAAAAGACTCTGTATAAAACGGTGTTGTTTCTTAAGAGTTCATTCTGTTTTCCTGGATGGACAACAGGAAGTCTCTTCTGCACATGTCTTCTATGAGCGTCTTTGAACCACTTATTGTCTATAAGAAACAATTCAGTTGTATGTGATTTACTAATAAAGAGAATGAGAGGATACCCTACAACTTCTGTTCAGTCAAAAGGCTGGATCTGTTCTTTCCTCGACACTCCCCTAACTCAAAATAGAACCACCCCTGGAGCTTCCTTCTATACACACACAAATCTTGAACACAGAGAGGAAAGAACAGTGTTTTCAAGATGGTTCTTGGGTAGGGCTAGCATTTCAAAGGTTTGGGAATTATCAATACTTTGAGGTTGGAGTTAGAGGATGCAGTATCGTAAGAATAAATGACTGATAGGAGCCAAGACAAATCAAAAAATGGGAACTTCCCCTGAGCCCACTCACACCTCCAACAGGATTTCAATCTTGGGAACTCAAAGCCACAGATTCACTGCGGCTGGGTGTCACTAACTGCACAGTTCTCTACAATCCTTTCTCTTTATCAACTTTCTAATTTTATTAATCTTCCCACTTAATTTAAAAAGTTCAAACTTACAGAAAGTATAAAAGAACAGTATAATAAATACCTGCCTATCATTCTTTTAGATTCACTGCCATCATTTTGCTACATTCCTGAGCTTGCTCCCTCACCTTTACACTTTTCACTTTTTGCCCCTGAACTAGCTCCAAGTTGCAGATATCATGACATGTTTCCTCTAATACCTGTACCTCAAACGACTAAGGACAGTGTCCTACATAACCACAGGACCACTACTGCACCTAAGAAAATGAAAAGTAATTCCACGATATTATTTAATATGCAGTCTACATTAAATTAAAATTCTTCCAGTAGTCTCCAAGTCATCTTTTACAGCTATATATTTTTTTTCTTATCTAGGATCCAAAGTTCACACATCTCGAGTGGTTGTTACATCACTAGAGTATTTTAATCTGCAATACTCCCTGCTCTCCCAACCGTCACCTTTCCAGTCTTTTCCGAACACTGCATAGGTGAAATCATGACCTTATTGCATCCCCACGGGAGACTCATAATAGGTGCCGGTAGACTTGAGCCCTAGGCTGAGGTGATAACCTCCTCATCTTTCCATTGGATGGCCACGTTTCCTCTAGGTAATTTGTGGTGAGATAATCCTATTCTCCAACAACCTCTCAAAGATTCTGAACCCATGGAGGAGTCCTTGTCTGAATCAGTTACGGTAGAGTCTGCACAGCGCTGGTTTTCTGGTTTTCTTACTCCTTTTGTTGTGTATTATTCAAACAATAGCCCATCAGTCCCTGTCCTCTCTTTCCTCAGTGTGTATGCTCTCTGGTTACTTCTTACTGGGGCTTCCCCCCACCTCCTTGTTGACCACATTTAACCAGCTTCGCCCAGACCTTCTCCCTTTACCTGCCGATCTCATGACTTCGCATTCAGCAAATTAAAAACAAAAGCAAAGAAACAATGTTGCCTACCAATTTACAGTAATTTACAAACATTAGTGTGGCTGTAATACATATTTATTGGGTTAGACTGAAGAGAGTAGAAAGAGGGAATTAGTTTTATTTTTTTTTTAATCGGATTCCTAAGGCCTGAAATCTTTCCTCTTCACTAAGGTAAAGCCACTTGTTCTGTCACAATCAGGCTTTTTGTAATGGTGTTGAACAGAAGCGACCTCATCCCTTCATTTCCCTCATAGAAGAATCTAGGAAGAACAGAGGTTTAGAAATCATGGGCCCAAATGCCCCATTTTATATGGAAAAGGGACTCAGAGAGGTGAAGGGGCCTGCCCAACTCCTTAATGGTACGACTAGAACAGGAACCTGGTTTAAAAAATACCTCCTCTGATGGTTCATTTTCATTCCCTTCCCCAGTGCCTGTGATTCGGCTGTTTAATAAGCAAGATGAAGCCGTAGCATTCACGGCCTCCTTCATTGCTAATTTGCATTTTGCCTGCATTACCTTCCCACCTTTGAATGCTTTAGGTAAAAATTCCCATTAGGATCCTCTTATTAATATTATTTTAAAACCAATCTTCCGTTCTGCAGAACAACAGGGAAATTTTAGGAAGATTCAGGGAGCACATGCTATCACTACTTTATTAACCAGGGGGAAAAAAAATAAAGGTCTCGAGGACCTGCAGCATCAGGCAGTTCCCTGAATGCAGCTTTCTCGGAGGCTGAAACGCCCAGCGGGTGACAGTTCTAGGGATCTTAAAAAGAGATGCCAGCTAGAATCCACCCTTCCTCATCTCCCGCTGTAACGAGGCGGTGAGAGGCACCGCGCTCCGGGAGCCTGTCTAACGTTCACAGGAGAGGAGAAAGTGGGGAACAAAGCCCGGCGTGGAAAAACCCAGCCCCGCAGCGCGAAGACAGGAGACCGCGCCCTCACTGCAGCAGCACGGCGGGCTGCTGAGGCTGCGGAGCCGCAGTGCGGAGCGCGGGACCCACCCGCCGGCGGGCGCCTCCGGCCCGCGCCTCCCCGCACAGCCCCGCACAGCCCGCGGGGCCTCGGAGGCTAGAGGCGGCCCCGGCTCCGCGCGCCCGCCCCGCCGAGCGCGGACGCAGCGGAGCATCCCCCAGCCCCGCGCGGAGGGCGCGGCCGCCCACGCGCTGCGGGCCTGGGTCGGCAGACCGCGCCTCGCCCCGGCCGGCCCTCACCCCCCGCACCGCGCTCACCCTTCCGTGCGCCCATCTCGGAGGCGGCGGTGCTGGCCGTCAGTCCGTGTGCCCCGAGGGAGCGGGGCCGACAGTGCTGGGGCGGCGCCGTGGCCGGGGCGAGCGCGGCGATCAACAGGCGGCTCCCGGCCGGGCGCGGCGCTGGGGCGCGCGGCGGCGGCAGCGGAGCAGCCTGGGAAGCGTAGTTCGAGGCGGCGCGCCGCGGCCGCGCGGAGGCGGGACCCCCTGCCGGGTCCTCCCCTGCAGGTGTCCTCTCCCGGAATCTACGTCCCGACCCCGTCACCGCTCCGCAGGCGCCGAGGACCTCAGCCTTGGGGAAAAGCTGTGCAGGCTCTTTTGAGAAGCTCGGGGCTACGCATAGGGTGGGTGGCAAAGGCTTTTCAAGCCAGTGAGGAGCAGTTGGGTGAGTGAGCATCTTTACGCGAAAGCCTTAGTTTTTACAGGCTTTACTGGGGCCTGCGGCGGGGACCCGGGAAGGAGGAGTAGCTGGGGTAGATGCCTCCAGGGGGGCGCTTAAGGTAAGCCAGGTTGGGTTTAGCAAGGCTGATTTAAAGTTTTGGGGTTTAGGTTGTTGGAGAGCCAATGCACGCGCAGTGACTTTTACTGGATGTGACTAGAAACGCTGCCTGTCGAGTCTTGGCAACCTCATCCGTAAAATAGGCTTAAAGCCTGAAGACATATTGTGAGGACTAAACCCATATTAGGTGCATGTACGGAAGCACCTCTATGAGGCACTTAACACACCCGTAGTAAAGGTCCCTTTCTTGGAGGTTACAGGGGTGTACCTGGGCACACTTCTCTCCTGGGAATTCCTACATATAATAATACTAAGTTAAAAATAGGTGAGCCTCATTGGCCTGGGGAGATAGATAAATATTAAAACCCCGTTAACTTCATCCTGGAACGTACTGAAATGTACTCTCTGCCAGGTTCTTGGGAGCTACAAAGATAGAGAAAATACGATCTTGTCTCTGAAGCATGAAAGTGGGGTGGGGTGACATAGGACAAAGACAGAAATTACTAAAACACACGGCATAGGGGGGTTATCTTCCAGAAGCTTTCTCTAATTAGATGTGCTCTCTCTCCTTTATTGAACCCTTTTTGCATACTTCTACTGCAACTCTTGTATATAGCATTTATCTACAGGGGTAATGTATGTTGAGTTTTATAAGTGGCTACTATGCAGTATTTTACATTATGGTGAGATTTGCATCTTAGGGATGCAGTGAAAGGGAAATATATAAAAGGGATGGATGTAGCATTGCTAGTGTAATCTGCCTGAAATAGGCAAAGGGTGAATCGAGGTGAAACAGCATCATGATCTAGCATGACTTGTGCAGTTATCATGTGGCAAAAACAAAACAAAAAAAGACCCACAGAGGAAATTCCATATTTGAAAATAATAACACAACTTTGCTTCTGTGAAAATACTTTCCTACTCAATGTTCTTACCTGATTTTGGCAACAATCTGTGGGATACAGAATGAGGAGTTTCCCCTGATTTCTAAGAGGCACAGAAAGGTAATATGACTTCCTCAAGGTCATCTGGTAGGTTATTAAGCCTATCTTCTCTCCTTCCACCCTGTCCCTGCCCCCAAAGAGGTTTAGTCCTATCTTTCCTTTGTACATTTCAAAGTAGGGCCATGCCTTCCCCAGAAGGTGGGCTGAATCAGAAAACAAAGTTAATTCTCTAAGGCTCTTGGGTGTCATCCTTGCACAGGGCCCATGCTAATCTTCTCTGTATCGGTCCAGTTTTAGTATATGTGCTGCCAAAGTGAGCACTCATTCTGTGAGGCTCTTGGAACTAGTATGATGAACATTGGCAACAGGAGGTACTGAGTGAGAGGCTGGTGTGATTTCCACTATCAACTGTAGTAATGGACTGCCTCCTCACCAGAAAGACACATCTGATCTGGAAAGAGTGAAATGAAATGGAGGCATGACCAAGCCAGCTGAAATCATGTTCCCAAGTTTTCTTGTCATTTGTTATTCCAAATATCCTATGTGGCATGATATCTTTGACTTTCTTATGTTGTGCATTTATCCTAAGTCATAACCTTTGTTAAATAAGAACAGGACTACTTACAGATCAGTCCAGCAGTTTTCCCAGAGAAAGTCGATGAGAGGCATAAGCTGAAAATAATAAAACAATTTTACTCATATTGGAAGAAAGAGTAGCAAAGGTTTGATATAGCAAAGATACACAGTGGTGTATTATCTTTCTCTCTGGGTTTTTTTGTGGTTCCCCACAAGGAAAACGTCTGCATGTGATGAAATGAATGGAACATTACTTCAGGTGAAGACTGTGACAAGAAGCAGGCATAGAAATGGTTTCTTAAGTTAAAGTCATAGTTGGCAGCCAAAGCAAAGATACTAGAGCTCTGTGACCGTCCCAGAGCCATGCATGAGCTCCAGGAAGATGCTGACACCAAATTAAAGACATACAGTTGTGAAAAAGAACTTCTAATCAATCTCTGCCTGTACCATCAGGGCTAGAAGCTAGTAGATGTTAATGAATGAGGCAGAAAGGTACAACAAGGAACCCTTCTATTTTTAATGTTAAAACTTAATGGAATATGATCAGTTCCAGTTTGTTTAGTTCTTTAAATCTAATATCTATGTCTAAAACTTTTTAAGGGAAAAAAGGATGTCAGCCATGCCTATGACTTACCAGCTGAAACCCATCAGCATTTTTGGACCATATCTTGTAGGTTTAACTTTAAACTTGCTTTTTAGGGGAGCCTAGGTGGCTCAATTGGTTAAGCGCTCGACTTTGGCTCAGGTCAGGACTTCACGGTTTGTGGGTTCGAGCCCTGCATCGGGCTCTGTGCTGCCGGCTCAGAGCCTGGAGCCTCTCTCTCTGCCCCTTCCCCACTCATGCTCTGTGTCTCAAAAAATGAATAAACATTAAAAAAATTTTTTTAAACTTGCTTTTTAGAAAATGCAAATGTAAAATTGAAACAGCTAGAGCTGGAAGGGACGTTACATATAATCTTATCTACTGTCTTTGTGGAGGCAAGGATGTTGCTATGTCTACAGTAAATGTCACTTGACACAAAGTAGAAAATTCTGTGTGGCAGTTATAATGAAGTATCTTCATTATTCACAATGAAATATGTAGTATACCTCATTAAGAACATATAGCAAGTACTCAACATCCATTCATCTGTCCTCCTTCTTTACAGAAGTCTGTATAAATGTGTTTCACTATTAGGGAAGGTAACCCTATTACCATCTCAGAGGTACACTCCTAAACTATCCTGAGCAAGATCCTTTTGACTGACCAGTGAGAGGTTAGGGGTGGGCACAGAACCCAGTTCTGGTATGTGAGACCTGAGGAGAGGTCTGTGAAATCCTGGGAAAGATTTTCTTGTTCTTCAACAGAGACATACAGGGAAACATGCCACCATCTCCACTGGATATTGTTGCATCTGGCTGTGTTACTGAAAGTGGTCCCTTAGGAAGCCAGCACACTGATGATGTCAGAGTAAAGAGTCAGAATGAACCTGGGTTGGTGATGTTATTGTTAAGTCAGTAAACCAATCAGAACTGGTGTTGCCCCACTTCTGGATTTCTTGCTATATGAGATAATAAATATCTGTATTGATGAATCAATTTGAGATGGAGTTTTCTGTTACTTCAAGCTGAAACCATTCTACATGTTACAGATAAAATGTAAAAGTGAGTTCTTTGAATGGACTGAAGGTCTGCTTCTCAGAGTTAATAAAAGCAAACAACCATAGCCGTAGGCAAAGGATGGGGATGTTATCATGTCATGGATAGAAGTATGTGTTGTAACATCACACAAACCTGGGTTTGAACCCAAATAATTACGGCCTGGTTGACTGTGAACATTTTTTTTTTAACCTCTCTAAGCTCTTTTTATCTCTAGACTGGAGACAATAATACATACCACACTGGGTTGTTATACAGATTAAATAGGATAATTTGTGTCAAGTAAGCTACAAAGGAGTGGTGCTTAGTAAGCACTGCAGGAATGGCAACTATATTGATGCACTATGAATTAACTCATATTTATAGTGTACCTGGCAGCAAGCATCTAGAAGTGAATCACTGTATAATAGTGACCATGTTAAATGACACACAGTACTGCAATCAGCAAAATCCAGAATGTGGGAAACTACACAATAACCCACTTCTTCAATAAATTGCAAGAAAAAGGAAAGAGGGAGAGTTTATCAATACACAGAAATATGAAAGACAAATAATGAAATACAATGTGTAGTACATCTTGATTTGCATGAAGCAGCTGTTTAAAACATCACATTTATGAGAGAACTGAGGGACATTAGAACATAGGATATTTGATTATGTTAAGACATTATTTAAAAATTTTTAGATGTGATAATGGTACCATATATATTTTTAAAGAGTCCTTGTCTTTTGGAAAGATACTACTGGATGTTACTGAAAAAGTACTGAATATTTGAAGAAGAAATAATACCTGGATACTTTAAAAATAATCCAGTGTGGGAGTGGTAGTAGGGTGGCAGCATCAGGGATGAAACAAGATTGGTCATAAATTGATAGTGATTGAAGCTGGGTAATGCGCCCATTCTCTCTACATTTTTCAAAACAGTTTCATGAGATATATTTAATATATCATTAATTAATTCACCTTTTTAAAGTATACAATTCAATAGTTTTTAGTACACAGAGTTAATTATCACCCAATCTAACTGTAGAACATTTTCAAAATCCCCCCAAAAAACCCCATGCACATTGGCTGACACTTCTCCCCCCTCCCCCCATAATGCCAGACTCTGGCAACCACTAATCTGTTTTGTCTTCTCTGGGTTTGCTTGTTCTGGACATTTCACATAAATGAGATATGTGGTCTTTTGTGACTGCTTCTTTCACTTAGCATAATGTTTTCATGGTTTATTCATGTTGTAACATATGTCAGTACTTTATTTTTTTATGCCAAATAATATCCCACTCTGTGGATATGCCACATTTTCTTGTCCATTGATGGATATTTAGGTTGATTCCATGTTTTAGATATTATGGATAATGTTGCTATGTATATCTGTGTATATTTTGTACACACGTTTTCATTTCTCTTGGGTATATACCGATGCTTAGAATTGGTAGGTCATGTGGTAATTTTATGTGTAGCATTTTGAGGAACAGCCAAACTGTTTTCCAAAGCAGCTGAACCATTTGACATTTTTACCAGGAATGTATGAGGGTTCGAATTTCTCCATATCTTTGCCATCACTTGTTAATGTCTGTCTTTTTTGTTTTTATTATAGCCATTCCAGCAAATGTGAAGTGATATCCCATTGTGATTTTGGTGTGCATTTCTCTAATTACTAATGATAAGCATTTTTTAATGTGCTTATTGGCCATTTTTATATCTCCTTTGGAGGTCTTTCCATTCAAATCCTTTGCCTATTTTTTTCAGGTGCACAACATAGTGATTTGACCATTCTATACATTATGAAATGCTCACCAAAATGTAGTTATCATCTGTTGCCATACAAAGGTGTTACAATATTATTGACTATATGCCCTATGCTGTACTTTCATCCCATGAGTTATTTATTTTATAACTAGAAGCCTATACCTTGTAATTCCCTTTACCTGTTTCATCTATCCCCCCACACCTCTCCTCTCTGGCAAACATCCGTTTGTTCTCTGAATTTAGGAGTTTGTTTCTGTTTGTTTTGTTTTATGTTTTAGATTCCACATATAAGTGAAATCATATAGTATTTCTCTTTCTCTGACTTATTTCACTTGCCATACTCCTCTCTAGGTCTTTACATGTCATCGTGAATGGCAAGATTTCATTCTTTTTATGGCTGAGTAATATTCCATTGTATATATACACCACATTTCCTTTATTCATTCACTATTGATGGATATCTAGGTTGCTTCCATATCTTGACTCTTGTAAATAATGCTGCAGTAAACGTAGGGGTGAATATTCTTTTTGAACCAGTATTTTTGTTTCCTTTCAGTAAATACCTAGTAATGGAATTGCTGGATTGTATGGTATTTCTGTTTTTAATTTTTTGAGCATCCTCCATATACTGTTTTCAATAGAGGCTGCACCAATTTATATTCTCACCAATAGGGCACAAGTTTTCCCTCTTCTCCACATCCTTGCCAACGCTTGTTATTTCTTGTCTTTTTGATATTAGTCATTCTGACTAGTGTGAGGTGCTCCTTGTGGTTTTGATTTGTCTTTCCCTGATGATGACTAGTGATGTTGAGCATCTTTCCATGTATCTGTTGGTCATCTGTATGTCTTCTTTAGAAAAATGTCTCTTCAGGTCCTCTGCCCATTTTTAAATTGGATTATTTGTTGTTGTTGTTGTTGTTTTGGTGTTGAGTTGTATAAGCTCTTTATATTCTTTGGATATTAGCTCCTTATTGGGTATAGCATTTACAAGTATCTTCTCCCATTCAGTAAGTTGTGTTTTCATTTTGTTGATAGTTTGCTGTGCAAAAGCTTTTTAGAATGATATAGTCTCATTGGTTTATTATTGCTTTTGTTACCCTTGCCTAAGGAGATGGCTCCAGAAAAATATTGCTAAGGCTAATGTCTAAGAGCTTCTTGCCTATTTTTCTTATAGGAGGTTTATGGTTTCAGGTCTTAAATTTAGGTCTTTAATCCATTTTATTTTTGAGTGTGATATAAGAAAGTGGCCCAGTTTCATTCTTTTGCATGTAGCTGTCCAGTTTTCCCAACACCATTTATTGAAGAGATTGTTTTTTCTCCAATTGCACATTCTTGCCTCCTTTGTCCTAGACTA